TCTCTGTGCATCTGTGACCATCTGTGGTGGCTGGTGTGTAGGTCTCCAGCTGTGGCCAGTATTCCCACCCAGCTCGGTGATGCAAACAGCAGTAAGAGCAAGAAAGAGCAAACCATACATACCAAGTCACAAGGAGAGCTGGTATCAAAGAAAAGGTGAGGCAAGGCTCCCTTATTTACTGCTAAATAAAGAGAGGGCAGCTCAAGACAGCCTGCATGCACAACCACCTAGCAAGTAAGCAGATGAACTTCTCAGCTGCCCTAAATCCTCGGTCAAAGAAAACAAGCAGGACTGGCAGTGTGTGCACGGTGCTCCCCAGAGCAGCCATGGGACATGAAAGAACCTTAACGGCAAGGCTGGAAAATGCAGAACAATTAAAACAGCAGCACCTCAAACCAATGAGAGAGGCAAAATGAGCAGGTAACCACCTCCAATATATCATACAGAGGAGACACAGCAATGAGGACTGCACTTTCAGAGAAAGTTTGATTTGTTCTTTTAGGAATCTCACAAATTACTGTATAAATTGCACACACAAGCCTAAGGGTACCAATGAACCTGGGTAACTACAAAACAAGACATTAATGTACTTCCTAAGCTCATGTGTAAGCACCATCAGCCTAACAGTTCAGGGCAAAGCTCTCCTTTCAAAGACAGTGCCTGAATACACCACAAGGCAGCCCAACACCTCCTTTGCCTTCACAGCCAATGTTCAGGGCTGCTTGTGGTGCTGCCCAGAGCAGGACCAGCCCCCAGCACGGGGGGGCAGGGGAAGGCAGCCCTCCCTCCCCTGCAGGATGTCCTCACTGGTTGCTGGACCCTGTGTGAGGTGGTGCTTCAATTTTTGGTTTTGTTCCAAAGAAAACAAATTATTAGGGCAGTAAACATCCCCTGCCGTGTCTGCAATCAAACACTGCAATGTTGTGTTAGGGCTCTAGAAACAGAAAGGGGACCAGCACTCAGGCAGAACAACAAACAAAGCTGATGAGAAGCATGCGAGAGCACTGGGCTGCACAAGCCATTTAGGCTTATTTTCTGTACCCATTTTTTTTGGCTGCAGTGAGCTCCTCTTGTCCCAGCTAAGAACAATGCCAAAAGCAGGCCAGGACTATAAATGGTCAGGAGTAAAAATGAGAATTTTGAAGTGCTTTGCATCTCTTCCAAGTTTTGTGTAGCACACACAAAGCTATTTGTTGCACTGTCTTTATACCCCCACTCCAAGCAGGCCCTGAAGATTCTGAAACCGGTGACAAGTTCTCACTGATTTCAAAGAGCTCATCCTGGATTTTTTAAACACAAATGGATACAACTTGTCCTCACTGACATCCTGGCAGCCTTTCAGGAGCTGCTTAATTGTGCAAGTAAAACAAAACACATGAAAATTGATCAGTGCCAGTCTGTAAATAGACAAATACACAAATCTTCAATAATAAGGATTTCTGAACCTCTTCAATTTAACTGGAACAAGTTAGAATTGCACTTTCTGGAAGGGAGGGGGGCAGTAGGACAGTTTTTTCCTCCCTATCAGCTTGTGTTCCCCACCAGACAAGCCCACAGAATCACAGAATGGTTGGATTTAGAAGGGACCTCTGGAGATGAACTAGTCCAACCACCCTGCTAGAGCAGGATCCCCTAGAACACATCACACAGGAACATGTCCAGCCACATTTTGAATGTCTCCAGGGATGGAGACTCCACAACCTCCCTGAGCAGCTTGTTCCAGTGTTCTGTTACCTTCAGAGTAAAGAAGGATTTTCTTATATTTAGGTTAAACCTCCTGTGTACCAGTTTTTGTTCATTGCCCCTTGTTCTGTCACTGGACACCACTGAGAAGAGTCTGGACCCATCCTCCTGACACCCACCCTTTAGATATTTGTAAGTATGAATGAGATCCCCCCCTCAGCCTCCTTTTCTCTAAGATAAACAGACTCAGCTCTCTCAGCCTTTCCTCATATGGTAGATGCAACCCTGGTGGGCTGCAAGCAGAGCAGATCTGCCTGAAAGGCTGGAGGAGGGGGCATCAGAGGGTGGCAGGTGAGCCATGGCAGGGACAGGACTGAGTGCTCCAGAGCACGTTACAGCAGGGGGGTCACAGCAGGTTTTTTCATGCCATAAGCCAAGAGTTGTTCAGAATCTTCCTCCCCTGAGTTCACCCAAGTGCTGTGGCAATAACAAGGCAATTGCTACAGCTCAGAGAGGAGCACACAGTCACAACTACAAACTCAACTGCTGCAGCTCCCAGTTCCCAGGCTCCAGTGGTGCCAATCACAGCCTATTCAAGTCCTACCAGACTCGCCTCCTCACACACCAGGCTCATCAGCAGAACCTAGAAGGGTTTCTTCTTGTTTTGTTTTTGTTTCTAAGGGAATGGGAGGGGAGGAATTGTCGCAATTCCTCTAGGCCCTCTTGCTTCAGCTGCACCACACAGCTGTTGTGTTGTTAAGCAAGACAGGCTGCAATGCTATTGCAGCAGTTGGGCCAGTACTGTATCATTATCCCCATCCAGGTCACTGTCCAATTGTCTGCATCATGGAACTTCTTAATCACAGTCTAGCTTGCAGATAAAGGAGGCTCTAAAAATAACAGCTTTGACTGCTGAACAAGAAGCTACTTCTAATGTTCAGATCAGGTAATTAAACTTTCCAACAATTTTCCTATAAGGTGCTCTGCTCTGGAGTAAAGAATACGTATTTTGTGGTAGGTTCCAACTCCAGAGAAAATCCACTGTGGACACACACTCCCTTCTGAACTGCACACACCTCTTGGCATGAGAGCAAACAAAACCCACATGCACAGACAGCACCTGGGCTCTGCAACATGAACTTTGACATGTCTCCTTCTCCAAGTCCACTCCTGCTAGACTTAAGACCTTCTTTGCAATACACAAGCTCACACCTTTCGAAAAATAAAGAAAAAACCCATCCCAAACCAGAACCCACCAGAATGGTATTTCTTTGTGCTGCTCAGTTTGCTGAGCTGGATGCTCCTCGAGAGCAGAGCTCTCACCCTCATCTCTGTACTCAACTTCCTACCTTATGCCCTCAAATAACAAAGTACAAACCATGGCAGAGACACTGCACTTAGTCACGTAAATGACAGGGCGTGGGGTTTACACCACCCTGCTGGGCTGTCAGCTGAAGCAGCTTTTTGTCGTTGTTCTGTCATTCTCCAGCTCAGCTCTACCCAGACACCACATGCAAAATACCTCCTAAGTGATAAACAGCAAGCAGAGATGATTCTCACCTTACAACCGTACTGCAGGGCTAGCTTGTTCAGGCTGTCGTCCTGTGTCACCTCCCTCTCCAGAAGCACCACATCTGCAGCTCTGTCCCTGCGGGAGCGCTGCTGCTCCCTGCCCCGCGGCCGCAGCTCCATAACGTTGAGCTCCTCCTCTGAGGACTCCTCGGAATCGGACTGGCCATCAGGAAACACATACACCTGCCTGCCTGGGTAACTGTGGATGGTGACAGGAGCGTGGAAGGATCTTGTCCGGCTCTCATTCAGCCTCATCATTTACACCAGCACCTGGAACGGAAACCAGAGGGTCTGAATGCCCTGAACACCAGTGTTTATTTCTTAGCATGTCAGAGATGGGAGAACGGGCAAAAAGCACAGCAGTTGCACACACACAAACACAGCCTTCCTCCTACCCAGACCTTCTTGGGCAAATCCAGAAGATGCCATTCTGACAGCAATGGAGACACAAACTTCAACAATGGGTTGATTTTCAAACCTCTTTTCTATCTACTTATGGACAAAGCACTACATTCCATCACTTCAAATACTACTTTCTATAATGTCACTTAAAAACCAGCAGTTACTTGAGCCAAGTGTCTTTAATTATGGCAAAAAAAAAATCATAGGGCCACATCAGACCAATACACATCAAAAACTGATCAAAACTACCCTTTATATCACCTCTCCAGAAGTTCTTACTTAGTTCTCTGTGCTTTAAGAAGCCACATTTTAGTTTCATGGAAGTTCACCTTATTTTTTTTAGTACTAGAAGGGCAGCTCAAGCCACACGTCACTTCAACCTGCCTGACAAGGCAGGACAAGAACCTGCCTGAGCACTTATAATTACTGCCAGGTCTACACCATCACGTTATTAGGAAGCTACTTTATTTATATTTTCCCCCTTCCAACCTCAGCTCCACCACCGATTTATTGCCGGGTGTAGGTAAAGAAACCCCCCCACACCCTCATAGACCTTAATATTCCGCCGAGGGATTCTCACGGGGGTTCTGCCGGCACCGAGCCCGGGCTGCGGGGGGGGGCCGAGCTGTGCCCGCGCCTCACACCCGGGATCAGCCCTAGGCCCGGACGGACGGAGGGAGCGCTCCCGGGGCCCCGCACCCTCACACGGCAGGGCCTGGGGCAGCAAGGCCTGGGGCAGCAGGGCCTGGGGCAGCAGGGCCTGGGGCATCAAGGCCTGGGGCAGCAGGGCCCGCCCCACACC